CAGCCCGTCTACGTGTTGCATGGTTTTGCCCGCGCGGTGCCGTATGGAGAAATCGTATTCTTGGAGCCGCATTGCCCAGCGCGCGTTTCTTCCAGTCAGCGCTTGGCTGGTCATCAACCACGTCAATGGCTGATGATCTGTCACTAGCTCGAACGGCCTCCCCTGTAGGTATACTCTGAAGTGTGTAATCGCCCATACAGCTGCCAGACCTTCTCCCTCATACGAACTGTAGTTGGCCTCTGCGGGATTACAGCTCCGACTGGCGAAGGCCACGACTTTCTCCTCTCCCTCCCTTTTATGACACAGGATAGCCCCCATTCCCGCGCTGCTCCAGTCCGTGTAAAGCACGAACGGGTCCTCCTTGCTGGGCAGAGTCAATACCGTAGCCGTCTTCACGGCCCTCAGCAGTGCCTGCAATGCCCCTTGCTCCACTTCCCCCCACTCCCATTTCTAATCCTCCCTCAGTAGTCTATTTAGGACCGCCGCTGTCTTGCTGAAGTTCGGTATGAAATTTCGGTAGTAGTTTAGGAACCCCAGCACCGCTCGTAGCGTGCTTCTATCCTTCGGCTGCGGGACTCGGTCCAAGACTTCTACCTTCGCTTGCTGGATTCCCAGCTGCCCTCCTTGAACCTCAAACCCCAGATACTTCACTCCCTTGTTCCCGAAACTGCACTTCTTTGGATGACAGGTGAGTCCGGCTCCTCTGATAGCATCCAGGGTATCTTTCACGTCTTTCACATGCTGCTCCGCGTCTGGACTGAAGAGCACGACGTCATCAATGTAGCATGCGGCTGCGGGTACTCCTCGGAGTATGGTATCCATGATACGCTGGAATAGTGCTGGAGCGTTCTTCGTTCCGAATGGCATGAACCGCCATTCGTACAGATAGTCAGGCCCGTGGAACGCTGTCTTCTTGCGGTCGGCCATGCGTATAGGGATCTGATTGAATCCCTGGCGCAGGTCCAGGGTGGAGAACACTTTCGCTCCCTGCAGTTTATCAAAAATCTCTTCTGCTGACTGCATCGGGTATCGGTCAGCCACCGTGACTTTATTCAAGCTCCGGTAATCCCCACACATCCTCTTCGCAGACACGGCCCCTGTCAGGTCCTTCCTAGAAGCCACGACTGTCGCCGCGGCGTAGTCACTCTCTGACTGCTGAATCAGCCCTGCTTCCAGCAGCTCGTTGCATTTCTCTGTGCAGATTTCTAGGTCCCCTGGGCTCATCCGTCGTTTCCGCTGATATATCGGGACCTCCGTGGTAAGCTCGATCTTCATTTCGTGCGTTGTGCACTTCCCTAGCTACTGCAGGGTATACGCGAAAGTTCCGCGGTGTTGCTTCAGCACCGCCTGCAAGGCTGCCGCAGATACCGGGTCCATCCCTCCTCCGAACACCCAATCTTCCCCAGGCCCTTGGCCTCCTTGTGCTGCTTTCTCTCCCTCGGCTTTTGCCTCTCCTCCCATCTCTCCTTCCATTCTTTCCATGGCCATGTATGCTGCCCATCCTTCATCTATCCGCACCTCGTAGCGCTCCTCTATCCTTGCCAGCGTCTTCTTGTGCCATTCTGCTGAGTCCCGGTCTCGGTTCTGTTCGCTGAACGCGATGTCCCTCTGTAGCTCCTTCGATTTCAGGTGCATCCTCATGGTGTCCAGCAACCAGGTCATCACGTTCGCGTCCATGGCTCGACCCAGCGCGGCGCGTCTCTGCTGTTCCGTCACCTCGAGGTGAGCTGTGGCTCCCCACAAGTGTCCCATGGCTGCCTCGCGCTCGTTTGCCGTCGGCTGCTCCCAGGTTCCCCTCCGCACGTCGTAGATCATCCCTGGTCCGGGCAGGTCTCCCTCCATGACGAACCCCCGGGCCTCCGCGTGGGCCACTAAGGTGGGCAGTGCCTGTCGGGGTTTGCCTGGCTCATTGCACTGGTACTACGTGGGGTGGTCCGGGCTAGTCACGGGTGCAGGCAAGCGGTTCGGCTCCAGGATGTCACTCACTAGGCGAGGCTTGGGTCTTTGCATCAATGCTAGCGAGTGCCGTAACGCCGCCGTCGAAAGCACATTCTGCCAGTACCTCCGCGGTCGGTGTGCGCGAGACCCCAGCTGCACCGCATCGACAGGTACTCCTCTCCCCAAAACCCCCGCTATCTCCTCGAACGCTCGTTTCACGGGCTCTCTCCGATCCTCGGCCAGGTCCACGTTCTCCAAGACGTAAGCGACTTCCCCTTGGCGCTGCTGTATCAGCTCCAACACTCGCCTGAGATCACGGAACGATGCGCCCCTCGCATCTTCCATCCCCAGCCCCTCACCTGCTCAAGAGTACCCTTGACATTCCCATCCCGCGACGACCAGGTCCAGTTGCCCCCAGCTCTCTAGCACCTGTTCGGATATCTCTCTGACGTCATGTATTGTTGGCTCCTCTTCTAGTGGGATTGCATCCTCCCACATCTGATCTGGGTACTCGTTTCTTAAAAGCATTGCATGGTGCCGGGCCATCTTCCTCACCACGGGGTCACGTTCCACGTGGATCCATTGCTTGATCGTACATCCTGCCCTTAACGCGGCTGCGAGACCGGTCCCGATCCCCCCATACAACTCCAGTATCTGGATTGGCCCGTCCAATGCCCACACCCTACTGACCCGCTCTGTCAGGTCTGGGGCCCTCCGTCCCAGCGTCTGATCTTCCACTCGTCGTTCATACTCATCCCCGTACCTTTCCCAGGGGCTGCTGTTACTCGGTGGGGTCTCAGGTACTGCAGCCGCAGCCCAGCTCGTCCTCGCTCGCCCCTTTCCGTCCGGATCGTCCAGGTCTAGTAGTCGTTGAGCTTGCTCCGTCCTCTTCGTCAGCAAGCATACTTCTTTAAGGGTGATATCCGCGCCCACGCCGTAGACCGTGCTCCGCACCACTCCCATTAACTCCTCTTCCAGCCCTCGTACGAACTTCCGCACGAGCAGGCGTTCGTCCTTGCTTCCCAGATCTTCTGCGAGTTCTCGGAGCCGGCAGTAGTAAGCTAGCAGCGATTCATCCCTCTTCCTCCGAAATTCACGAAACTCTTCCACGCGCGCCTTGGTCTGGCCTGCGAACTCCTTTCGCAGCAGTTGAAGGAACCGCGCCGTGGGATTGGAGATTTCTCCCTCCGCCAATTCTTCCAGGACTTTGTCGCGAGTCATGCGGTAGAACGTCTCCGCTTCTCCCGCCAGGGTTCCCACCATTTTACGGAAGAATTCCGCAGGGTCGAATCCGTCGCGCTCCCAGCAGTACTGCACCGTTTCCAGCTGCATGAGGTAGTTCTTCAAACTCGGCCCTACTCCGGGAATGCCCGTGTATCGTTCGGCTACCTCCACCTTCGGTAGGTTCGTCGCCTTCCAGCGTCCTCCTTGGCTTCCGGGGGTTGCGTACGTGTCGCCCAGTGTCTCGGCGACCCCGTTGTACACCAGAGCTCCTTCGGGCTGCGGTTCCTCCGGCAGATTGTCGGTCGGGGCTCCTCGCCTGCCGGGTTCTTCTCTGCTCGCCGTCATACCCGGCATCCCGGTCCGTGGCGTCGGTTCCTCTTGATTCCGCCATCGGGCTGGTCCGCGTTCGGTCCATCGCGGGTCGTGATGCGTATCCCCCGGGTCCAAGCGGGCGGTTCGCGTCGGGTTCATATTATCTCCTGCTGCGCCGGCTCGTTGTTGAGGCGTCCGGTATTTGAAGGACTCCGTTAATACGGGCGCCGTACTTATAGTTTCTCTCGTCGTGGCAGCGTCGGCACGCCACCCTGCTGAGGGCTTAGGGTCACCTGCGTCGTCCCACAGACGAGTCCTTACTAGATCTCGGCTGTTCATCGGTAACCTTGCGTGATTGTTGAAAAGTTAACAGACCCAGTAAAGCTACAAACCCTAGCTCGGATGGCTGACACTACTTGAGAGTGGGTTGGTGCAAGCTTGCGAAGTTGGCTCCTCGTGCTTAGTCCAGTTCGGAAAACATTATAGTATAAGCATAAGTGTGGAAACAATCATGCAAGCGTCTTCCTACCCTTCTCTACTCTCTTAAGTACTAGCTGCGGGTTACCGTTGTGACAACGGTCTCTTTTCGCCTGTCAACTTTCACCTGCTTCTTTCTGGTTTCCGTTGGTTTGGTTCGGCTCTTCTCCCTACTGTATCAATATCCTATCTACGGTCTTCTTTATTTCTAGTATGTGTCTCAAGTGTATATCTAAGGTACCTACGCCTAGAGTACATTCGTGACACAGCGCTAGGTTCGGCTCTTACGTTTTTCAAGGTCCCGTAAACGTAATTTTCGCTAAATTTTACGATTTCGATCACGAACGACAAGTTACGTGTAATTCTGAGGCGGGCAGGTGAAAAAAAAATGATGCGAACTATTTTTTTCCTATATTATAATTTACGAAAAGATCCTACTACTAATACGTGCCTTTCGGCGGTAGCAAATTTAATCGGTATGCATGCAGCGCCGTTCGCGGCTGTGTGGAACTTGCAGAATCAGTGTATACTTGACATCGACCGTATCGCTAGGTAGGATACGAACGAGCCGCTAGGTTTTCTTGACATCGACTAGTTAATTCAGGCGGGCGTGGGAGGAGACGGGACATCGATTAGGGAGGGGGTGTGTGAGAGGCAGTTGTGCTCGGCGAAATTCGATTGTTGGGTTGGGGAGTGGCGAATGCGCGGACGGCGAGATTTCTAGGGCGCGTATGCGAAGGTTGGCGAATTTCATTTTAGGGTTGCAGTCAGCTACAATTTTGTTCGACTGTTTGGTGAAACCCCTTAGGTGAAATCGGGAAACATTGTAACTGCAAATTCAGATTCGACCTTGACATGATGCCTACGGAATGAGTCTCCCTAGAACTCTGGTTTTTTTGTTCTGCCCTCGGGCAGTCCAAAAAAAATCTAAGGTGACCGTAAACGTAAGGCCGAATCCAGGCAACCGTTCGTAAACGTAAAAAATGTCGTAAATAAGCAAAAACGTAACAAATCGAAAACGTAAGATCCAACTTAGTTGCAGCGTCGAAATGCGGGGAGACAACGAGGATGCTGAGAGACCCTCAGGGCACCAGGCGGGAACTGACGGGCTGATGCAGGCGATGGAGATGAGGCTGAGGGCGCTGGAAGGGCAGCTGGAGGAGACACGGAGGGTACTGGAGGAGGCTGAGAGGCGCCGAGCAGAGGAGATGTCAATAGTGAGAGGGGAAATGTTAACAGTGCGAGGGAGACTGGTGACAGTAAGAGGAGAGCTGGTGACAGTAAGGGGGGAATTAGCTGGTCATCCCTAACTTATACACTAGCTTATCAACCCCACCCTCCTCCCCACCCCCTTTCTGTCCCCCAAGTTTCGGCCCACCAGTCAAGCTCATGCCCTTCCATTCCTCGCCCTTCCCTTCCTCGCCCTTCCCTTTCTTGCCCTTCCCCTCCCTCGCCCTTTCCCTCCCTCGTCCTCTTCCCCCCTCACCCTTCCCCTCCCTCGCCCGCCCCTCTCTCTCCCGCAAACCTGAAGCTGCAATGGGGCATGCGAGTGGGTGCGGTTGGGTGGGAGCGTGCTGATGGCAGGGTGCTCAGCGGCTCAGCCTGCACTCATGCCTCGTGCATCCCTCATGGCGCCAGAGACTAGCCACATGGCTCAAGGCCCATGCATGGTGGGTGGTGGGCGATGGGTGGTGGGCGATGGGTGGTGGTGATGAATGGTGGGTGATGGAAGACATGAGGAAATGGCGAACTCGAATGTGTTTGCCTCAAACTCAATCGAACAATTACGTTGGGCGTATGAGACGCGTTTGGTTTGCCAACTTTTGTTTTTTCCAAAAATGGTGTTGGTGTGTTTGGTGTCACGGGTGAGCACTTATGGTTTGTCACGAACCCCTTCATATTTGCCTCCAACTCCAATTAGTTCGAGTTCGAAGGACCGTCTGAGGATCATTCCAAGAAAGTTGAAGCTAGTTCTTGACATTTCGATTTGACAGTTGCAGTTCAAATTTCGCCCAACCAGCCCACCCCACCCCACCCAAAACCCACCAACTGCCGTACCTAAGCTAAACTCAATCGTCGTGGCTACTAGATCTAACCCGCCACACTCCAGCCTCAGTGCTTAGCGTATGTACTGTTTAACCTAAAGCGGAAAGGGCCAAAACAGCTGTTTTGACGTGGATGTGAGTATGGTGGCTGAAGGTATCGTGATGTTGATTTTCCAGCCTTAGTAGAGACCAGCGTGTCAAATTTGACTAGAGCGATGGGTGGAGCACTAAAGTGGAGTTGTAAGTGAGTTGGAGCTGAGCCATTCTCGCTGCTTCTCGCTGCTTCCCTCCCGTTGTGCCCGCGTCCCCTTCCCTTCCCGTTAACCCCGTCAGCTCCTCTCAAAGCGAAGCAGCGACGGCACGAGCGTTCTCCCATCCCAGCACGGCAGGGAGATGGCGGCGCTGGCAGGCACGGAGGGCTCGCGAGGCATGCGCATAGGCAGCCGCTCTGCCAGGCCATGTGGGGGAGGGGGCGGGCAAGGACGCTACAGAGGGGGCGGTGGCAAGGAGGCTCCGACGATTATGGCGGCTGCTGGTGCTGGGAGCGTTGTGATGAGGTCAGACGGCAACAGGTGAGAGGGGGCGGAGGGGAAGAAAGGAGAAGGGAGAGGAAGGGAGCATGAAAGGGAGAGGGGTGGGTGAAAGGGAGAGTGGAGGGTGAAGAGGAGAGCGGAGGATGAAAGGGAGGGGGGAGGGTGCTATGTAACTTATATTTTGTCCGTTTTGCTTCACAAGCACTTATTTTGTTCTGCACATGCCTTCTTGTTTTGCACTGACCCCTCCAGTCGCGTTCTCTCCATGTGCGTCTGTTGGGGTGCCCTGCCTGCCGGCCTGTGCAGCGCATGCCGGGGGGAGGAAGGGAGTGGGTGTAGGTGTGGCAGCGGCCGAAGTGGATGCTGGATGGCGCATGGGTGGAGGGCATGCGACGGTGAGATGGGTCGGGTGCTGTGAGAAGGGATGGGATGGGATGATTTGTAGGATGGGGAGGGGTGGAGTGGCTGTGATGGGATGTGGGATGGGATGGGATCGGATGGGATGGGATGGGATGGGATGGGATGCTATGGGATGATGGGGTGTGGCACTGCATCGCGCAAATGGCATTGCGTCGTATTGTGTTGTGTTGTGTTGTGTTGTGTTGTGTGTGCGCTCATCGTGCAACTGTCCTCTCCCTTGGTGCTTCCCCATGACATGATTGCCTGCTCTACGTGCCACCATGTATGGACGGGAGAGAGGGAAGGGGAGGGACGGGAAAAGGGGGAAATGCATGGGGACAGGATGGGAAAGGGCAGGAACTGTAGGGATAAGGACAAGACGGGACAGGGGGTGGGACAGGAGAGGGGGAAAAGGAAGGGACGGGAGATAGGGGAGGGGAGGGAAAGGAATGGAGGAAAGGAGCTGGCCACTAGCAATGCCTGTGGCCGTCATCGCACTCAAGGCTACTCGCGGTCATTGCATCTGCCACTCGCCTCAGCTGCAGCTACTTACTTGCCTCGCCACTGATCCTTGTATCCACCCCATTTGATGCTCGCTTGATTTCGCTGGTTTTTGTACCAGAGATATCTGCGCGTGAGGATTTGCTTGATCCATTACTTTTTCCTGTTCATGCTCCATGCGTTCAAGTTGGCTGTTACCTTACCTTCCTTGCTCTCGTCGGCAAGCGTGTCAGTTTTTTTGCTGCGATAGGTCGATTGCGTCAGGGCCTACTTTCCCTGCAGCTGCTGTTGCCGTGCGTCACGGTCACCAGTGCCGTGTTAGGGTTGAAGCGAGGGAGCGATCGTTCTTATCGTGATTGTCACCATCAGAATCCTCACAAGCGTATCGTGTTTTTCGATCCGAACCCCTCACTATTCCGCCTGTCCCTTTTTTGCCATTGTTATAGCACTCGAAAGGCGGCCGGGATGGTGACTGCGCCGAAGTTGTCCGGAATCGGAAAAGAGACGATTCCGTTGGGAAGCCAGCATACATCATGAGGGCAAAAAAAAAAATATGCGGTGGATATTTTTCTTTGCCCCCATGATGTATGCTGGCTTCCCAACGGGATCGTTTCTTTTCCGATTTCAGACAACTTCGGCACAGTCACCATCTCGGCAGCCTTTCGAGTGCTAGAACTGCCGCCTTGAGTGCTGCCGCTTTGAGTGCTGGCGCGTAAGGCGCGGCGCCGAGGGCGCTGGCAACGTGGGCGCGTAGCACCTGGGGCTCCGTATCTAGGACCCTCGCGCCTAAGACGCTGCGCCATAGGCCGATGGCGCTTTGGGTGGTCTCTCGTGCCATGCGCGCCGGCTTTGTGTTCATCGGATTGGCACCTGGCAATGTCCTTCCGAATCGTGTGCACACGTCCTACGCTTGCTGATGTCATGCGGACATGGTGATCACTCTCGTCCTCCCATCCCTCGCCCGTTTCCCATACCTGCCCCTCAGGTATCTAGCTTGACAATTCTCTTCCTATAGTCGGCGGCGGCCGCAACGAGGGGTGCGAGCAACTTCGGCACAAGACGGTGAGTTAAAAGGGATGGAGAGAGAATCTCTAGGAGATGGCGAGAGGGTGAGGACGAGGGGGAGTGAGGAGCGAGGAAGAGAGGGGGGGGGGGGGGGGGAGGGGGGGAGAGTGGTGGAGAGAGAGAGAGAGAAATAGACGAATTTTGTGCTATATTTAGCGGTATGAGTATTGTTACCTATTGCGTCGGCTCGTAGGATGCTCGGCTGAAGCACACTTCTGTGGCGCGTCCAAGCAACAGGCGCTCATACGCTAAAGGGCATCGCGCTTGCACGCGCGTGGGTGATACGCTGGTGGTTGGCTGGCGGTTGGGCGCTGGCGACTAGGTCGCTTGCACGTCAGCTGGCGGCACCTGGGGCACCGTGCTTAGCATGCTGACGCTTTGGCCCTGGTGCTCGGGGGTGCTGACGCTTGGGTGCTGTCTTGGTGCCAAGTGTGCCGCACTTGGCACTTGGACTTCGTTCCAAGCAATCGTGCTCTGCACCACGTGTGCCACACCACACCAGGGTGGTGCAACCCCGCTCACTCCCCTCCTCTGTGCTCCACGTCAGTTTTGCTGCTCCAACCAGCCCATTATCAAGGGCCTCGCATATCCCGTGGTGGTTGCCCTCTTGCATTTCCTGCAACACCTTAAGGCCCCTCACTCATGCCGCTTTCGCCAGTCTTCCTTCTTTGCCAAGTCGATCCGTTCCTTCTCCACCGCTGTCCCACCTACCCATCTTTTCCCACCTCCTCTCGCCTTGTATCTCACCTTCCCTTCCCCCTCTACTCTACCCCTGCACCCCCTTCCCTGCCCCCTCAATAATGATTTCAGCGTTGGCGCTCGCCGCCTGCGCGAGCTCTTGGCCGCCGCCAGCAAGGCCTTCTGAGGCACCCTGCATCGTGTGTATCCTCAAAAGGATGAGATAGGCGCCATAGGCGGCAGCCGAGCCGAGCCGCAACCCCAAGGTCCAGCAGTGCATGGGGATGGCGCTCAAGCTACTCCTTGTGGAGCTGGGCGGCTTCAAGCAGAAGCAGGGCGTGCTTGTGGTTGCTCGTGCCATGCGACAGCCACCAACTTGAACTTCCCCGAGTGCCTTGACAAGGGGCTCGGCTCGTGCAGCCAGGCCGGAGAGCTAGGGATAGTAAACGGAGAGATGGTGCCAGTAAATGGAGAGCTAGGGAGTATAAAGGGAGAGTTGGCGACAGTAAAGGGTGAGCTGGCGACAGTGAAGGGTGAGCTGGCGACAGTGAAAGTGGCGCTGGAAACAGTAAAGGGAGAGCTGGAAACAGTGGAAAAAGGGTCGATGGAAGTGAAAAAAGAGTTGGTTGATCAGGCGGACTGCTTGCAGAAAGTGGAGAAGGAAACGGTGGGCGTGGAGGGGGAGGTGCAGAGGTCCAGGAAAAGAGCGAATTTAGATGAGGCAGCAGCGGTGCCGTGCCCTGCATCGAGGCATCTCGATACGACTCTTGATCTGAAAGCCCTCTCTGGCCTCTCAGACTCCTACCTTGTCCAATGCCACCATGACTCACCTCAAGCACGTGCACATTGACGTGACATCAGGATTCAGCTCTGAAGGTATCAAGTGCCTCTACTCGCTGCCACAACTGGAGAGCCTGGAGCTGAAAGCCAGCTTAGTCAATGACAGCACATTGGAGGGCATTCGAAGAGTACGGACCCTGAAGTTCCTCTATCTTGACTGCACTGGGGTGATTGATTCTGGCCTGATGCACTTGACACTTCCCTGGAGACTTCGATTTTGTACAAGTGCTGGAAGGTGACGTGTGCTGGCATGGTGCATGTGGGGAGGATGTCAAGCCTCGAGGAGCTGTATTTATATGGAAGTGGTGTAAAAGACGAGGAGCTGCGATTTCTGACACCTTTGAGCAGGCTCAAAATGCTCATTCTCCCGAATACCGTACGATCACTGATGCTGGCATGGAGCATGTACAGTGTCTAACTGCTCTGGAGTTTTTAGGTTTCAACATGTGTGTAGTGACCAAAATGGGTGTGAAGCTTCTGGGAAGAAGGTTACCTTGTTCGAAGCAGATTAAAGCATACGGTGACGGCTTTCAGACATTGCTGAGGACCATCCTTCCTGACATGTTACGGTATATTTCGGCCCGTGGCTACGGAACTTCTGCTGACATGGTGCATGTGGGGAGGCTGACTTGGTTCAAGCTTGGACTGCGGGCCCCTATATTCGTAACATGGTTCATGGATGGGGGGGTAGCGATGATGAGTGGTGTGGAGAGAAACAGTGATCTTCTTTCTTCCTGTGACATTCCAATGTTATAAATGTCCAAGGCGCATCCCAATTGTGCATTGTTTGAGTAAAATGTATCAATCTTAGCATTGGCATTGAACACACAAAGAGTCAAAAAGGAGGTTTACCTCGAAATGAGTGACGACCTTACCGCGTACTAGTCTGCTGGTTGGCTCTGTCGTGAACTGAACTTTCGCCCTGGTCACTGCGTATCCTGGTTTTTTTTTAATAGAAGGTGTTCCACTATATCAAGGATACAACGAATACAGCCACAGTCGTAACTGTTGCAAGAGGGGGGACAGATGCACACGGTGTCATGAGTCACCCCCCCCACCGTCTACGGTGGCTTGAATCTAACCCTCCTATCCGTCCAGATGGACATGAAATCTTCTCGCCACATAAGCTTGTAACCGATCTGCGTGCTGACATTCTCCAATGCCGTGATCTCGTCTCTCGCCAAGTGTTTCTTGGCCACATGTCGCTTTTTCGCCCAGGCCCTCTTCCTCTTGATGCCCTCGTAGGTCCGCGCATGCAAGCAAAAAGCAGTCACGATCCTCCACATCACCTTTCCGCACCGGAGCTTCTTGCCTCTAAAGACTGCATGGCACCGCGCCACCCATAACTGGTGGAACGTAATCGCTGACACCGTCAGCTCCGGGAAACCAGAGGTCGTGCCCCCCCGCTGAAACATCAAATCCCCCAGCGACTTTATCCTCCTGGACGGATTTAACCAGCGGATGGCGCTAATCAACGCCTGCACCACCGGCTGAATAACCCGACAGGAGAACAGCGCATGATCCACTGTCTCCGCCTGCGTATCCTGGTGTGAGCTGCCTTGCCGTGACAACCCGACTCAGCGAAGTGAGTTGTGAGGCTGAGACACAGGCGAACCTTTCGCAATTCTACGCAAAACATTGTCCTGTGTAGCAGCTTTTATCCCAAGGCCTGAAATTGCCATCGCAAGGCGTTGAATTGCCGTCGCAAGGCGTGAAGCCATCGCTTTCACTGGAATTCCCTCTCGATTCTGGTTGTTCATTCCGCTTTGATTATTCCGCTTCGTTCTACACCCTCTTTTGCGCTACACTGACAATGAGATTCACAGGCTACAGTGTGTACTGTTGCTTGGAACGTAGCGGTCTCGTGCTTACAGCCGAACTGCAGGTAGTGACGGGCAAATGGACTCCTGGTGAACGGTATACAACGGTTTTCAGAAAACAACTTGCTTTTGGGTATGGTTGAGTGCGGGCAAACGTGCTTATATCATATGTGTATGGACCATCCTGGACGCATTGAGGTGTGTACATCCGATCAGTTAGTATAGCCATTGACAGTGTAGCGCGAAACAGGGTGTACACCGCTGTTGCCTAGATTCATCACATTGGAATATATATTGCACTGCATGCGTAAGCAGGCAGTGCAATCGAGTCAGCAAGCTGACCGCGGGCAAGAAAAATAAGAGGCGACAAAATCGTCTTAGGGTTGCGAAGCAACATTACAGTGTAATTTTTAGATGCACTTGACATATAATGAGAATTATATAATGTTAAAGTTTAGAAGAAAGAAGAGGGGTTGCACTAGCAAGAATGGGGATACAAATAGCAAAACCCTAGAAAAGTTGTACTCGCTATAGAGCACCCCACTACAGGCTAGAGCATAATATTCTGACATATAATATCGTAACATGACTTTGATATTTGATGAACTACTGCTATTTACATATACATTGACATATAATATAGGTTTACATATATGAATAGGGGTGGTCGTTTTGGATATAGATTCTGAATGTTAAGAACATTCTTTATGTTAAAGTTGTTCTTATTCTGTTCAGATTATTTGGTTTTATGGTGATTGGAAATCTGGAAACAACAAAACTACAAAACGGAACAAGAAAAAACCTTTACCGAATAATTGTGCACTATCGGATTCGAACCGCCGACCTTCGTGATAAAACGAGACATCGACAGCGCTGTGCTAAATACGCTGTTTTAGCTTTGGCGCTAAATTTAGCAGTCTATGATTGCAATCAAAAACGTCCCATCCTAGAGTTTCGTCAAATTCCTTTTTGCTTCGTTTCTCTTCCAACTACTCACGCCACTCCAGCTTCTCCCGTCCCTCACGTCACTCACGCTACTCACGCCCCAGACTAGTGCTCATATTAAGGTAAGCCATATTCTCTCTATTTCTTAAGCTCATTCTAGTTGAGAGTGGGTCCTAGTTTAACTCATTATGGTTGAGAGTTTGTTTTCTTTAAACGAGATCTAGACGTATATGTTAACCAGAAGATGATGTATCATCCTGCCTTATTGTTGTATCATCCTCTCTTTCATTCCGTTTTGTCTAGCTCAATTTCGTCGCTTATTCTAGTTTCTTTTTGTTTCTTACCGTTCCTTCTATCTCCATCGGTTATGCCTTATCTCTCTCTCTCTCTCGGTTCTCCCTCCTCTCGGTTCCTTCTCTCTCTCCCGTTCTTCGTTTCTTATTGTTTCTTACCGTTGTTATTAGTATGTTGTTCATTCCGGTTCTTTCTTCTCTCGTTCTCTCAATCTCGTTCTCTCTCTCTCTCCCTCCCTCTCCCTCCCTCCCTCTCTCTCTCTCTCTCTCTCTCTCTCTCTCTCTCTCTCTCTCTCTCTCTCCCTCCCTCTCCCTCCCTCCCTCCCTCCCTCCCTCTCTCTCTCTCTCTCTCTCTCTCTCTCTCTCTCTCTCTCTCTCTCTCTCTCTTTCTCTCTCTCTCTCTCTCTCTCTCATCTCTCTCTCTCTCTCTCTCTCTCTCTCTCTCTCGTTCTCTCTCTCTCTCTCGTTCTCTCTCTCTCTTTCTCTCGTTCTCTCTCTCTCGTTCTCTCTCTCTCTTGTTCTCTCTCTCTCGTTCTCTCTCTCGTTCTCTCTCTCTCGTTTTCTCTCTCTCGTTCTCTCTCTCTCGTTTTCTCTCTCTCGTTCTCTCTCTCTCTCTCTCTCTCTCTCTCTCTCTCTCTCTCTCTCTCTCTCTCTCTCTCTCTCTCTCTCTCTCTCTCTCTCTCTATCTATCTCATTCCTTCCGTCCGTCCTTCCATCTTTCCTTCCCTCATACCTTCCATGCTTCCTTTACGCCTTCCTTCATTATGTTTACGGCTTCAGTTTGCTGCTTCCGTTTTCTGCCACCGTTTTCTGCTTCCATTTTATACTTCCGTTTTATGCTTCTGTTTTTTGCTTTGTTTAATGTGCTTTGTTTTCTGTTACCTATGTTGACCCTACCTTCCCTTTCTCATTATCTTTTTTTTTTTTTGTTCTCAGGAGTCTTGCTGATCAGGAAGGCGAGTCCAATCTGGATAATCGTAGTTGTCACTTATAGAATTCACCATATTGCCCGTTTTACTTTGTTTTGCATCTTTTATGTATTATCTTGGGTTTCCTGCTCGTTTTTTTGCTGTCCATGCGTTTGGTTGTTGTGAATGTGTTTGCTTGTCTGGGTGTGCATTCATCTATCATTGCAATGACAATGCACGTCTGTGGGTTTTAAAAAGGTGAATCAGGTTTATCATTTCATTAGAAGGTTCATTGGCGCGCCTGTCGGGAGCCCACTTGAGCTGGAGATGATAGATTTGACCATCTTTTTAGAGTTCGCAGATTGTGTTGTTTCATGTGACTGCTGATTGTTCAAGGATTATGCTGTTAGCTCCCCCCCATGCTAGGCAGGGGATGCGATAGCATAGTTCTTGGATCGTTAGCTTTCACGCATTTATATCATGAACTAGTATGCATGTATTCAACATAAAACATTGTGCATACTGAAGCATCATTATCATTATTGCATAATGCATTTATAAAATTTGTATCATTATATTCATTCAAGCTTGTATCATTATATTCATTCATGTATTATTATATTTATTTAAGCACAAAGGTTTAATTTATAACATATATGCATTTTACGACAGTCACGTAATTACCATTATATCATCCAACATACCGCACAAAAATATGTCGTAGTGCGAACAGAAAAATCACTACCATCACATTACAATTGAATGTAGACAATACTTACTGGTCATGTAGCTAGCAACTAGTGCATCCTGTTTTTTTTTAATTTCACATTTTATTTTAAATAAATAAAATGTGGAAAAAAAAAAAAAAAAAACTGTCCAAATCGATTGTAATAGGTTGCTTCGCAACCCAAAAACTAAAACCCATCCGGATGGCATGGACACATCTCACAGCACAGCCAATTTCACATGCGATGTCTTCCACTCCCCGCTATGATCATGATGACGCGTTTCGTAGTTCCCTGCTTGCTACCAATACACCACCGATCAGCACTGCGGCTTATCCTGCCCTATTCCTCCCGTTCGATGCATGAGATTCTTCTGCTTTCCTTCTTCCCGTCTCACCTCTGCAAGCCCTGCATACCTCTCTTTTCTTTTCCCTTCGGAATCGACCAAAGAATCCGACATAAACTGTTCCCGTAGCTAGCAGCGCCTTTCTGACAGTCCGAGCTCCGCCAGTTACGAATTAGGGTTGCGTAGGAAAGCTTGAGAGCACATGAACGAACTTCTCGAACCTGACAAAATAAAGAGTCTAATCCGGTGCACATGTAGTGCAGGGTGAGCCTGGAAGACGTGTTACCTTGTGCATGGTTCTTTGGATGGTGCCAAGTCTGTTTCTCAACCTGGTTCACCTCTTCCCGTCCTCCTGCCAGCTCCGCTTCCCCTTGTTCCCTGATGCTCCTATAAGCCACCTGATGCGCTTCGATGCTCTCTGGTCCTTCCTTGTTCCTGGTTCGATGCTATATACTTCTTCCAGGTCTGTTCTATGCTCTGTGATTCTTTCTGTGCTCCCCGATGCTCTCGTGTGTTGGAATGGCAGCACTATACTTGAGATCCATTAGCGCCTTATCGTGCCCCATATGCCTCCCAGCTCCCTATTTTTCTCGTGCTTCTTCGGCCTATCCGTCCTGCTCCCGTCCTCCCGTCCCTCCTCTTCTTGCAGCTCCCACTTATTGCACAGTCTGCACCAAGCTGTACACGGCTTTCCCGGCGCACTGAAAACCACGTGCGCAGCCTCCACCGAGCTGGAAACGGCAATTGATACCCATGGATGAGGGGGGCATTGTATTGGCCGTGCTGCTGGCCGCAGTGGCTGTCGCTGCTGTTACGGCACCCCTGCTCGTGCTGTTGCCAGGCGTGGATGAGCTTTTGAGGCGCCTCAAAGATGGGAGCACGGATGATATGGCCGTGATGCTGACAGCGCTGCTGGCCACATTGCCTTTTGTTGCTGTGATCGATCGTGCTCTCCTGGTAGTGACAGGCGGCCATGCCCCTCTCGAGGTCAGCAACCACCCTAACAAAACGTTTGCCCGACATGCTCCAGTCACTTGCCAGACATACGCCAGACCATCACCTTACGTTGACCACACGTTCGCCAGACATTTGCGAGCCAAGCATTCGCCAGACATTGGACACTATATTGACACCAACACCAACACCAGCACTAACACCAACACCAATACCGTCTCCCTGTCCCAACCAACTTTCCCACTGTCTCTCTGCCCCACTGTCCCAACACCAACACCAGATGTTCTTTACGCTTCCAGCGTTACCGGTTATTTGGATGCTGTCCTTCTGGTTGAACGACTCTTTGGCACAGAACAGAGCGTGGGTGGGCCGGCAAGGTCTGGCTTTGAAAAGTGCAGCCGTTTCCATCCTGGTATGTCACAAGGCAGATCGTTGCTATGCATTGAGTCATGCCCCCTTGGTGACATGAGTCATGCCCTCACTATGCCATGCCATGAGTCGTGTCATTATAAAATGCTAGGACCAGGCACACAGCAAGTCATGCTGCACGCCTTCTTTCTCCACCTCTCACCTTGGCTTCTCATCTCCTCCCTCTTACTTGTTCGCTTTCCGAGTCCCGTTCCACCTCTCTTGCCCTGTTGATGATCAAGTCTGTTCTATACTCCCTCATTGTCCCCCCCCCCCCATGCCACAGGAACACGTAGTCCCAGCTCTCTATGACAGGTGAGAACACCCCACCTTGCTATTTCATGTCTACAGATCGTTAGCTTTCATGCCCTTGTTTCTTCACCGTTCATACCCCTGCGTGCACGTCCACATTTCCTCGATTGTCCGTTTTTGTGTTTATTATACGGTATCTCCATTTCGATTCTCTTCCTGCGCGCGTGTCTTCCTTCCTTGATATTCGTGCATAGTTCCAGAATGCAGGGGGCGGGTGAAGATGCTCCTATTCGTTCGAGACAGCAGGCGGAAACAGCTGCACTGATACAGGCCATGCAGGCTCGGATTTATGCGCTTGAAGGGCAGCTTTTAGAGACAAGGAGAGAACTGTGGGAGACAAGGGGGAGACTGGAGTAGGCTGAGAGAAAAAGAGTAGCGGATTTGAGTGAGTTGAGAGGGCGAGTGGCGAATGGAGAGAAAGAGGTGAGAAATGTGAAAGAGGAGTTCATAGAAGTCAAGTGGAAGTGGATGAGGGCCTTGGTAAAAGTAAAGGAAGAGTTGGAGTGAAAATTAGGAGCTGTCAACGGGGATTTGGAGGAGGAATTGGTAGCAGCAAAATTGGAACTGGAGGGGAAATATGTTGTAATGAAGGGGCAGTTGACTGGACAGAGGGACGGGTTGGGGAAGGCAGGGAAGGAAGTGATGGGTGTCAGGGAGGATGTGAAGCCTCATGGGGCTGATGACGAGCCTTGAGGAGCTGTATCTGCTCGGAAGCGGGGTGACGGACCACAGGCTTCGGTTCTTGGTTGGCACCGTTTACCCGGCTCAAAGTGCTGGTCCTTCCAAGTATGATCACAGATTCTGGTGTGGAGCACATGCAGCAGCTGACTGCTTTGGAGTTGTTGGATATATCGAATTCTGTCGTGACAAAGAAAGGTGCGAAGCTGCTGAAGGGGCTGCCTCGCTTGAAGCAGGTCAGAGCCGGTAGTGCCAGCCTGCAGCTACTCCGCTTGGCTCTTCGTGGAGTGCAAGTGAGCAAGGGTCTTCTGCCTGGTGCTATTTCTGGTTATGCGAGTTGAAGGTGACTTTTGAGTTGACTCAAAATTAAGCTTACAGCAAGTGGGGAAACATAGGCACAAGGCCTAACAAAGTACAAAAGCGCTGATGATCACCAGACGGAAATGCCTTGGTGAATATATCACCAGTGTTGGCCTGAGTGGCCACGTGAGCAAGACGAAGCTGACCACGCTGCTGCAACTCTCAAGCAAGGAAGTAACCCAGACCGATGTGCTTCGTTCTGTGCTCCAGTCTGTGCTCCTGACACAAGGCAATGGCAACCTTGTTGTCTACGTATAGAATTGGAGGAGAACGAGGCCGCTCTCCCAGGTCGGTCAGCAGGCAAGTGAGCCAGCGTAAATCTTGTGCAGCCATGGCTGTGGCGTATATCTCAGCCTCACAACTGGAGCAGAGAACAGAAGACGAGCGTGTAGACCGCCAAGAAACAGAGCCGGAGCCAATACTGAAGGTGTAACCCTGTAACGACCACTGCGTAGCCAGGTCGTCAGCCCAAGAAGCGTCCGAGTGACCAGTGAGGACAACTGGACCCCGTCCTCCAAGCACGAGCCCCATGCCTGACGTACTGCACAAGTAGCGCATCACCCTCTTAGCGGCCTTCCAGTGCTCTAGTCGGTGTCTCCCGGGCGCAACGTAGCGTGCCAGGATGCTAAGAGGGTAAGCGAGGTCAGGTCGTGTGCAGGTCATCAGGTACATGAGGCAGCCCACAAGCTCTGGATACGGGCCACTCGGCTCTACGGACTCATCCGAAAGCAGAGCTGAGAGCGAGTGACCGGTAGGCAGAAAAGTGAACAATGGCGAGGAGTACTGGAAATCGAAGCGCTGAAGGATCTGCTGCACCATGTGTGACTGAGTCAGTGTAATGGTGCGCCGTGCTCTGTCCCAGGTGATCTGCAAGCCAAGATATCTGCGCAGCTCTCCAAGGTCTGTGCACGTGTGTCTCTTCTGCAGCTCCGACTTCACTAGAGTCAGTGCCTCAGTGTCAACAGTGGCAAAAACCAAGTCGTCGACGTACACGAGGATGTAGAACAGCGGCAGCGAAGTGTCGGTGCGTAGAAACAGCGACGGGTCAGCAGTGGAAGGGGCGAACCCAAGAGTCGCAAGCGTCGTCCTCAGTGTGTCGTGCCATTCACGAGGTGCCTGCCGGAGACCGTAGATGTCATGCTTTTAATTGTAGAATAGGAAATAGGAAGAGACAATATAAAAGCAAGACAGAGTACAGTAGTAGGAAGTGCTATGTCGAGGCAGGCGGGAATCCACCGAGTAGAAGGAGGGGATCTGAGGCGAGCTTGCGAAATCTTACAACCGTTGAGGGCAACGGTAACCAGTGGCTGATACTTAGGCAAGCACTAGCAATAGGATAACTGCTTGCTTGTTTGTTTCCACTCTGAGCAAAGAATTGTTTCTAGCTAACCCTAGAGCTGTGCAACTGAGGAGCCAACTATAGCAAGCCATTCAAGTTGGTTGAGCTGTCACTACGCTAGTCGGCGAAGCGGTGTCTCCTAGATGTGTTCCCGTAGCTAGGAGTTTTCAACAAACAAGCAAGGATTGCGACAAGTAGTCGCCTACAGCAGCATGAATGATAGATTTAAACTAAGGTCCGAGCAAAGTTATCGTAGAGAAGACATTGTAGCAGAGCCAAGTTGGCGCGCAGCAGCGGCGACTGTTTCTAACCAAGGAGTAACTGCAGAAGCGGTGCGCGTGCCGGCCCCAGCGGCTGCTGCATATCGTACCCCGCATCAACGGGAACGCGAACGGCGCGGAGTGATGGACCCGCCCCGCAACGTAGCGTCAGACCCGGGAGAGAAGCCACACGACTTACGATGGGCCCAGGAAGCGAGAGCTCGTTGGGAAGGACGACCGGCAACTACCTCCCCGGGGGCGATGCCCGGAATGGAGTCTGACCGGATGCACTGGTCTACCGCCTGGCTACGCCGCCAGACAGAAGACGACTTCCGGACACCGACCAACCGGGAGATGGTGGAAAGCCAAGTTGCGGAGCTACCGCCGACAGTCACTCCACAAGGTCGGCTGGGCGAGAAGCGATGGCTGAGTGGGGCTCTCCCGAAGCTGGAAGTGGCCGAACGGTTTACAGGAATCCCCGGCGTGGGTCCCACCTTAAAGAACTACCTGATGCAGCTGGAAACGGCGCAGTACTGCTGGGAGCGCGACGGTTTGGACTCGGCTGAGTTCTTTCGGCGGATGGTAGTCACGTTGGCGGGTGAGGCGGAGACCTTTTACCGGATGACACGCAACGAAGTGTTGGAAGAGCTAGAATGCGGAGAGATCGAGAACCCCACGGCGCGTTTCATCGAGTTAATAAAGAAGGAGTTTCTGGGGCAGACTAAGGTGAGGGTAGAAGAATTCCGCGAGTTCCGCCGAGGAACGGACGAATCATTGCTGGCCTATTATTGCAGGCTGCGAGAACTCGCCGAAGATCTGGAAAGCCGAGACGAACGGCTGCTAGTGCGCAAGTTCGTACGAGGGCTGAATGAGGATCTGCGGAATGTGGTGCGGAACACTGTGTACGGCGTGGGCACAGATATCACACTGAAGGAAGTGTACGGACTGGCGAAGCGCACGTAACACGCACAACGGATGCTAGACCTGGAAGACGGAGAAATGCGTCCAAAGGCGAAGTCCTCGTGGGCGGCAGCAGCGCTGGTGGATGCACCGCAAGGAGGAGCGCCGCGGACTGACCTACGTAGGTGCCACGAATGCGGGGAGCCCGGCCACCTCAAACGCGACTGCCCGAAATTGCCGGTGTGCGGGAACTGCGTGCGGAAGGGGCATAAGGAAGACGCATGCTATAGTCGCCGCCGTCAAGAAGAGAACCCTAGCAAAGAAGAGCTGCAAGCCGAGATCAAGAAGTTACAGCTGAAGATGGAAGCGAACCCGCGAGGGGAGCCGAAAGCCCGATCGATGCTGGCGTACGAAGAGATCGAAGGAGAGGAAGAAGGCGAGGGCGAGTATCTGCGCGCGAGCGGGTTCATGGCGTTCCCACGAGGGAGGGACGAGATTGATCTACGGCCCAGAGCGAGCCAGTCCTCCGAGAGCCGCACTAGCCGGGTAAGGGAGCTAAGAGGCAACCTCCACGAGGGAAGCGGTACGTCGGAGCTGCGCCGACACCCCAACGAGAGGCTCGTGTGTCAGGCGTCAGTTTTAATTGCGGACAAGGGGAGCATGACCGTAGGGGGGCTGCCCGTGGAACAAGCAATCATAGACACTGGCGCGCATAACGTACTGATCGGAAAGGGGCTAGCAAAGCAATTGAAGCTGGATCTGCCGGGCAGGGTAGTACCGAGAGGGATCCTGCTCATGACGGCTGAAGGGGGGGAGCCTAAATGGATGCCACGGACCGTACGGCCTATTGAGATCGTGCTGCTTCCGGGAACGGAGAAGGAATGCTGCATCCGCGTGACGTGTGGGGTGTCAGAGTCTGAGGAGTATGACGTGTTGGTAGGCATGGAGCTGCTGTACCGCATCGGCGCCACTATTTGCACCTGGCAGGAGAAGGTGTTGTACCGCGTACACTACTGGGACCCGGCTAGCTCGGTTGGCACCCTGCCGGTGAAGTTCGTCCGGCAAGAGCCTCGGGAAGCTTACGGAGCCCGCCAAGCCGACCTGGGTCCCGTGCTTGACGACTGGAGCTGGGAGAGATACGCCGAAGAGTACGAACAGCCGCTGGAGAGGAGGCGACAAGGGAGAGAACCGCAGTCACTGAAGGAGAGAGTGACTCGGTTGTGGACCCTGGAAGGGGCATTGTGTGTGATGGAGTTGTATGGAGGTATCAGTACGGGACTAGCGGCGGCGCTGTGGGCGGGGTGCAAGGTGCGGAAGTGGATTCATGTTGAGAGAGACCCCACGGTACGCCGGATGGCACAGCACCACGCTAGGTTGCTGTTGGAAGACTACCCGGACCAGCTCGCCGAGTCAGCCATACCCACGGAGGGAGAGGACGTGGTGGATGATGTGAGGGACATCACTGAAGAGAAATTGGAGAAGTGGGGGCAGATAGATGTGATTATAGCTGGGTGGGAATGCCAAGGCTACTCCCGTGTGGGAGAAGGGATGGGGATGGAAGATATCAGAGGGGCCTCCTTCAGGGACTTGAAGCGCGTGCTGGAGATGGTCCAGCGGAAGCAGGGGGAGGTGCTATACATCCTGGAAAATGTCGACTTCTCTGAGGACCGCCGGGAACCCGTGCGGAGAGCGTTCTTGGAAGTCAAAGCTGCCGTGGGCAGAGGGCAAGCGGTGGACGCTGCGCAGCTGGGGTCTAGGGCACACCGGCCGAGGAGGTACTGGCAGAATGGGATCTCAGACGCATGCCTTCGTCATGCGCTGGCGCAGATGCAGAGACCTGAGCCGCGGCTGGTCAGTGACATCTTAGGCCCTAACCGGTTACCCGCGCCTGTCACGGCTCACGACCATCCGTCGCAGTATCAATGTAACGTGCCGGGGAAGCCGAGGCAAGCGCTGCTGACGCTCGTGTCCTACGTCGACGCCTATGGGTTCGTGATGGAAGGAGATTTACCAGGCCCGGGGATGGTTTACGACGTCATTAGGAAGCAATGGGAGCAGCCCACGGCAGAGGAGCGGGAGCTGGCCATGGGACACCGATTGGGAGCCACTGCCCACCCACGCGTGACCGAGCCCCAGAGGCGAGCTGCACTAGGCAG